TATATGTACCACATCTTTCTAATCCAGTCATCTACTTTTGGGCATTTGGGCTGCTTCCATGTTTTTCCAATTGTAAATAAAGCAGCAGTAAACATGGGACCAGCAGCCCCTTTTCACATCATGAAGAAGAGGTATGAAACGGATCTGGGCCTCCAGGCCAGCCAGGAGGCCCTACCGATGTGACGGGGTAACCCCAACGTGGCGCTCACGGCAGCTGGGACTTTCTTTCCCAGGGGAGATCATGGAGGCCTTACTGGGTGTGCCCCAAGCTCTCAAGGGCCTGATGCCAGTGTAGCAATAACAGAAGCAAGAATGATGCTTCGTATTAATAACAGAAGTAACAGTACATGCAAAGTGGCAGTTACAGAAGTAACCGTGAGTGCTTGGGGAACCCTCACTCTGAGCCCGGCCAGACTTGGCACTGGGGTGTTGTCCCACTTCCTTAAAGCCACTCCCAGCGGAGGGCAGCAGCCCCCACATCAGGCGCAGAAACAGAGAAGCAAAGCCCAGAGTCAGGGCTAACGGGGGCCCGTCTGGCGGCGCCTCTTCGTCAGTGTGCTCTGGTCCTCCCAACAGGCACCGGCAGGGGTTAGATCTTTGAAGCATTGGATACGTAACCGGATTTTCTTAGTAAGACTCTTAGGAGAAAAGCCTCTAGGCGTTAGCCACACAGAGGCTTCAAACCCATGCGTAAGAAAGAATTGGAGGACTCAGTGTGCCCTCGCGTCTGAGCTCTGGGCTTGAGCTGTCACCCATGAGTGAGGGGACACTGGAGGGCATGTCCCTGGTTTCAGTGCATTCTGGATTCCTGGGGAATCCATCTACGCCAAGATGAACTGCCAGTGAAAACAGAACCTCGGATGGTAAGGAGTGTGCATGTCCTTGTGCAACAGTAACGCTGTTGATTAAAACGAGGGATTTTGTTGCCGTGGTTTACCAGGCAGCATCACGAACTTGCCATCTTTGCCCGCCTTTGTGTGGCCAACGCCCCTGAGCTATCGAGACAGGAAAACAGAACCCCATGGCTGGGTATTGTGCTTATTTGGAGAGTTCTTCAATTGCTTTCAGGGCAAAGGATGCTATGGCTCTTTTCAAGTGAACCTGTTTCATCTCTTTCTTTAGGATTTGGTCAACACTGGACTGAGCACTTTCTTTTTCTTTATTGCATCGATCGTACTGGCTGCTTTAAACCACCAAGCCGGAGCAGAGATCGCTGCCGTGGTAAGTGAACTCGGCTGGCTCGGCACCAGGCCCATTCGTGAACTTCCTGCCACTTGCTCTCCTCTGTCCTTAGTCGGTATCCTCATCCTCCGGGGACTTGTTCTCCGCTAGCAGCCGGCCCGGATCCCTCAGGGTGGACCCTGCAGTCCCGCAGTCTCACCCTTGTTTCCCCGAGGCTCTGATGGCCACTCACGTTTGCAAACCCCTGCTGGATAAGTGCTAGTTGAGGTGCCTTCCAGGCCTCTGGGGCCAGGGTGGGGTCCCGGGAAAGAACTGGTCTTGACACCAGTGAGCAGTCAGATGGCATCTTCATGCTTGCAGGCAGAATGCCACAGGGGCGCGGGGGAGCCAGTAACACAGGACTCTCTGGGCTCTCAGTTTCTGTATTTACAAAGACTCTGCATCACTTTCGTACTGGGAGGGAGGATGAAAAGACTTACTAGGTATGTTAGCTGCGCTCCCGGTGTCACGCGGGCTCATGACTTACCATTTGTCGTCTAATAATGAAAACTGCACTTCTCCCCTGGAGCACTCGGAGCAGCCCAGGTGAGAGGCGGACAGGTGGCAGGTGGGGGGTCCAGTCGCTGATTTGGAATCTCTGGGCTGACAGTTTGATTTGGGGCTCGTGTGGGGCCCTGATTTTGTCTTTATGGTACTTCGTCTACATTATCTTTTCCAGCCCATGACCAGTGGCCATGTAGGTGCAGTCAAAGAGGCACTTTTGTGACAGACAGGCCCAGCGGACTTCCAAGGACACTCAGGCTGTCCTCGGGCCAGGCAGGACCTGGCGTGGGCCAGCTGGTAGAGGCGAGGTCACAGCCCGGCAGCGGCACGTTCTGTGGGCTGGGCTTCCGGGCACAGCTGGACGGCGCTGCAGCATTTGGGTCACTGTCGGCCACCAGGGCTGCGTCCTGGCCAGAGGCCCTGGCCACAGGGGCGTGTGTGCCCCAGGACTAAGCAGGCCTGTTTCTTGCAGATATTCGGTTTCTTGGCAACTGCGGTGTATGCGGTGAACACATTCCTGGCAGTGCAGAAGTGGAGAGTCAGCCTGCGCCAGCAGAGTGCCAGCGACTACATCCGCGCCCGCACCGAGTCCAGAGACGTGGACAGCCGGCCCGAGATCCAGCGCCTGGACACGTGAGGGCCTGCCAGCGTCCTCCCTCTCTCGTCCTGTGCCCATCCTTTCAATCAAGTTGTCTGTCCCTTGTCACAGCAGATCTTCATGTGATTCAGTTGAAGTTTGTCCTTTTTTGTAAAAGTTCATTTCGGGAGAGGGTTCTTAGGGTGGCCTGTTCGTGGGCGCGTGAGGCTGGGCGCCCCGGGCAGGGGTGTTGAGACAGGAGCGGGCGTCAGAGACCCGCGGGTCCTCCACCTCGGCCGCGGGAGCAGCTGGCCTCGTGGGGTCCGTACTGCCCCAGAGCACGGGCTTCGCATCAGACCCCCCGCCCCAAGATTTGTATTCATCAAGACTGGATTAAATAGGGGCTGCTGGGGGGGAGAAAAGTCATGAAGGCAAGGGGCAGACCAGCCAGCCTGCAGTGATTTTGGGGCCCGAATCACCTCCGGGCCAGTGTGCCAGTGCGTGTAGCCTTGCTGCAGTTCTTCCCCGCCCCCCTCCACCCCCGTCTTCACACCCAGGGTGTCGAGGCAGCCAGCACAGGCCCGGGGCTGAGGCTCTCGGATGTGCTGGCCTCCTTGCTGGGCCTGGACGTCACAGGGGTGACTGCCGTGCTCTGGGGACACCGCCACGGGCCCCCTCTCCCACCTCCACTGCTGAGAAGTCACCTGATTCCTGCTCCTGTGAATCACCCCTGGACCCCAAATTCTCCTCCAGGAACGTGGGCACCATCCTGTTGTCCAGCTTCCTGCTTACCCTGAATGCTCTGAGGCTGAATCGCAGTGTCTGCAGTTTCACCTTCTCAGGTAGCAAAAGCCCGAAAGAGGGACAGCCCTGTCCAGCAGCCGAACGCTTGCCGGTCTGCCGGCCTCACGCCCGCGGTGGGGACGCCTGAGGATTGCTGTTTCTCAGATGCCCAAGAAGAGCCCGACGGGGCTCCGAGCAGATTTGTCTAAGATTTGAAAATACTTGAATTTGCGCTGCGACGGACCCTCCCGCTGATGTTTCAGAAGGCCCGGGCTGCGGCCGGGCGCCCTGGGGCCAGGACTGCGGACGCTGATCGTGGAAGCCGGGGACAGTTCCGATGACACACGGTCTGGGACTGATTCTTGATAGAGCAAAGATGATTGCGGTGAATGAGCTCATTGAGCCCCTGTGATGCTGTAGATTTGGTTTTGTTTTTCTGTCGGAGATTGTCTCCTCTACGGGAACATCATTTTCACTCTGTGAACTGTCCTTAATGTTTACAAACCTCACTCTCGTTCTAATGCTTTGTGTTTGGCCCTCACCAAGGGAAACACACAGCGGGCGGGGAGGCCTTGCCGTGGTGTGGAGGACGCCCGGGATCTTGTCCTCGCGACTGTTTACAGCTCTAGCAGTGTGCTGTGGCGCGAGAGCATGAGCGCGCGCGTCGGGGTGCCGGGTTGACGTGCGGGGAGGCCTCCATCCGTGCATGAGACCATCGCCTTATGCAAGAGCGGCGTCTGATTCCCGGGGCTGTGGGAGCGAGAGCAGGCGAAACTGCTGGCCGGGACTCTGCAGGAGTGGCCCTTTGCTGCCTCTGAGGGCTCAGGGTTGGGGTCCGCTCCCTGGACTATATCGGCGCCATCCCCCCCAGTGCCTTTTGGGGACAGCACCCCAGGTCACACAGTCTGGCTCCTGGGCTGTGTCAGGGGCTCTGGGCTCCCGGGCACCCCGGTGTTTCTGAGGGCCACTCAGTTTCCTTCTCCAGAAGGCAGTCAGGCAGGTCCCGTCTGCGAGAGTCTTGGCCCTCAGAACTCCACGAGGCCCCACAGAGCAGGCACCGAAGCTTTGACCCTACTGCGGGCTGTGACTTTGGAGGGGGTGACACCTGGATTTCACCCGCTCATGCCATGTATTTATTTTGCATTCCTTGGGTGTGTGGGGGTCAGACTTGTGCTTATCTCCCTCTAAGGCTTCCACTTAAAAACAGGGTCACAGAAGCTCCCCTTCGCATTCAAGCGGGCCCACTTGGAAGGACAGGACCACCCTGGACGTTCATCAGAAATCTCTTGCTGGGGCTCATGTTACTTGGCCTCAATAAAGAGCCGCCTGTGAAATGGGACCGACAGAAAAGCGCCGTGCGGGTAGGATCGTTGCCCAGGTCTTCCCAGTCACTTCGGTAACGCCAGTGTTTGCTCTCGTGTCAGGGCGGCGGCATCCTCCCGAGGACATGTCAGCTGCCCGGGAAACCGAATGCCGGCCGGAGGTACAAGGCGATGACACCCTGTGCCACAGAGCGGCCTAGGAGATGGTTTGTGTCTTAGCCCTTGGAAATATTTATGTCCTGTAACTATTTAATACTTTTATGCCATGAGGCTCTCCCATGGTTTCTGTAAATATATTTGTTTGTATTTAACTAGCTGCCACTACAGGTACAGGTACGTGCTCCCACTGGTGGGGTGCAGGCCACGAGGGGCCTGGGGTTGTCTGTGGGGAACGGAGAGACCTGCGTTCTCCTTATGTTGCCTTGCATATGAATAAGGCCATCTAGATTTGGGGGCCCTCGGAGGGGTTTTTTAATTTTTTTTTTTTTTTTGGGCAATTGGCAGAAGGCATGCGTTTGCATTTAGCAGCTCCAGCTCGGGCCCGTGTCAGTTTAGTTTGGGGCATTTCAAGGCTGAGGGAATCTTTGTGCTTCTCAGTTTTCTGGTGGGGCGATATTGATTTTCACAGTATGTGCCAGACTGGAAGAGAACTGCGGTGGTTGACTGGGTTGCTGGCGGCTGCATGGTGGAAACCCTGAAGCATTTGGTGGAACCTCTGGTGGTTTCAGGCGGATGCAAACACTGACGTCTTGGGAGAAAGTTTATCTTGGCTCCGGTCTGGCCGAGGTGGTGGTTATTTATTTTTTTCACCTCTGGGTCTCCTTTATCCTCCCTTCGCTCTGCTGAAGGCATGGGGAGAAGTACCTCTCCCCTTTCATACAGGGATTACAGTCAGGAAAGCCGAAATACACAGCGAAGGCCGAGGAAGGGTCAGGGCGGTCACAGGTTAAAGTCTCAGAGAAGTTTGACTTAAGGTAAAGAAAACGGATTTTGCTTGGCAGCCGCTGCCATCCAAGAAAGCTTTGTGGCTGTTGAAAGCCTTCCTAGTCATCTGCCTTGCTTTGAGGCTTCTTTTGAGATTCAGGCTTGGGCTAAGCCATGAGGGTGGGGGAGGTGGGGGAGAGGGTGCCCAGGGGTTGAGGGGGGCCCAAGGAGATGAAGCACTAGCTCTTGGCTCTGCACCTGTGTGCACTCCGGCTGGCAGGGCATGGGCCTTGAACAGGTCTGCAGGACCCAGGGGTTCTCTTCCCCCGAGTCGTCGCCGTTTCACCGGCACCCACTCCCGGGACTCCCAGCAAGGCGACAGGCGTGGTGGACAGGCGAGGCCCAGGAGGTGAGAGGCGGCCAGACATCTGCTGCTGCGGGGCTGCCGGTCACGCTAGATGAGGCCAGCAACCCAAATGTCTTCAGAGAGTGTCTTTGGTGAGCCCTGTCTTTGTGCCTTCGGGAAAGTGAGGTCTTGTGTTCCGGAATCAGCTTGCAACAAGAGCTGAATGTTGGGGGCCCCTTCCTGCCTCTGTGGGCGGGCTCTGGGGGACTAGTGTGGGAACGAGAGGAACTGACCAGGTGCCGGTGCAGACAGGGTGCAGACCTAACACTGCCTCCTTGGCTTTGGAGGGTGCCTGGCTTTCCTTTGAATCGAGCGAGTCTTCTCTCCGCTGCCAGTGTTTGGAGATGCGACAGCCGATCTCGGGGAGAAGGGCATCTGAGCTATTTGACCTTTTACACTTCTCTTTACAACTTGTCTCTGAAAGGAAATATCCTCAATGTCTCTTGGGGGAATGTTCTCTTAAAGCTCTGTTCTGTGGCATTTCTGCACATGCACCAGTGGCATTGGTACTCGGCTTCAAACAGATAGGCTCTGACGTGTGTAGCTTCCTTGGTCCAGATTTTTATTCTATTTGGAAAACTTCTCAACCTTAGTTTTTGCTTTTTTCCCCTTCCCTTTCTAGTTTTGCTTAAAAGAACCCTAAAGAAAAAAGTTACAGATAAGCCTACTGAGTTTGATCAATGCAACCTGCTTAGAATAAACTTTAGACTACGAGTCCTTGAAGAGCGTCTTTCTCGTAGGGCCAGTGTTTCTGCTGGCCACGCAGATGCCCTGCAGCAGCTGTCTTCTGTGGGCACACAGCCGGGGGGCCCCCATTGAGGGGTCTGCGGCTGGACTCCAGCAAGAGCTCAGAACTTATCTCTGATGACCATGGCTGGCTTTGTCGATGGGATTCGGGGCCGGGCCCAGAGTTTCTTGTCCTCATGGTGCCTCAGAGGAGAGGTGTGAAATCACTGATTCAGAATATGGCCTCTATGGGATTCAGTGACAATCTGAAACCACCAGATCTGAGTCTCCTTTGGGGAGCACTGCTGAAGCCAGTAGGAAGCAACGCACCCCCTTTCAGCAGGACCGTCACCTGAAGGGCCCCATAGGAAGTGGGGGCCAGGTGCACATACCTGGCAGGACTAGGTCTGGGTGGCTGCTCCTTCTGCCTCCCCCTTGGCTTTCCTGCCTTTTCCAGAATCAGCTCTGTAAGTTCCAGGACTACTCTGCAGCAGTGAGGAAGACAGATACTGAGGGCTTGGAGGGAGAACGGGCTGGTCCACAGGCCAGGGGAGACAGAGGTGGGGAGGGAAATGGGGCCGGGAAGGATGCCAGGATGGCCCCCTAAAAGATGGCCCACCCCCAGAGAGGGGCCAGCTGCTCCCTCTCTCTGTAACCCTTTCAAAAGTGTACTTTTGAATCCTGCCTCCCTAGGAAATGTGGAGGAAGCCAGGGCTCTCCACAGCTTTCGTTTGACTTGATGTGGGCCCCTCTAACAGGACGCCAGGGGGTCGAAACTATCTGTATATGTTGAAATTTGTTTAGGGGTTTGGGAACCCGTGGCAAAAACACTAAACTATTTATTACAGCTCTGACTGTATTCCCCTCCCCCTCCCCAAGTAGATAATTCTGTCTTTGTATATTTCAAGACAAATAATAATCACTTCACCTTTGGTGCCTTCTGTGTGTCACGTGAGCACTCTTGTCTGTCATGGAATTGAAGAGAAGATGTACATTTAGTTAAATCAGATAACACTATTTTTGTAGCATGATTTTAGATTGTATCCTTTTAATATTCCTTTCAGCAATGCTGGTTTTGAGGTCTGGCCATTTTCCCTTGAAACTCCTTACGTATTTATAAAGGAAAAAAAACAAAGCCCAACAAAAAAACCAACCCTCTCTCTCCCCCCATTCCTTTCCTCCTCCTCTGCTATTTTCTCCCCGATTCCTTGTTTCTGCTTATTTAAATAGTCTGAGAGTAAGAGTATATTTCTGTGAAATAATTAATAATCAGTATAATGGCATCTGGAATTTTTGAACCTCTCATCCCATTTGGAGAGTGGTCCCCAATTCATGGCCTCGCCTTGTCTGGGTCTGTGCGGGTGAGGCCCGCTGCTGTGGGCTGCTGAGCCGGACGGGGTTCTCTGGCCCGGTGTCTTCCAGGATCAGCCTGGCCGTCCCTGTAGCCCTGCGGCCTGCCCCTGCGGGCCCCGGGGTCACCTTCCCCTTGGGTCTCCGCTTGGTTCACAGAAGCCCTGACTGAAGCTTCCTTGCTGTGAGGAGCTTGAGGGAGCCAGATGACACGCCAGCCACTCCTTTTGCGCTCCCTCCCCTGCAGGACATGAGCTATGTCTGGTCAAGAAAAATCTCAAGCAAACTTGCTGAGCCATTGCAAAATGAAGGACAGGATTTACCGAACCACAGAGTGACCGCCTGCTTTTGGCCTGTTGACGGGTCAGCCTATGTAACTGTTTTCTGACCCAGGAAATCAAGTCAGATAGCAAACGCCTCCAGTGTGAGTTACTCATTGGTATTTCACCCAGTAGCACTTTTGGGGGACAAGGTTAATTTAATAACAGTTACACTCTGCTTCCTAAGACTTTCTTCTCAACATAGTTGGGCGTTCTGAGGTGATGCCCATCTGGCAAACTTTGCTCTGTACTGTTGGTGAGAGCTCCCGCCCTGGCAGCTCCGGCTAAGACGGGCGCCCCAGGGTCAGCACCGCCCTGCTCCACCCGGCCTTGGTTTTGGCTCTGTCCACTTGGGAGTGGCCCGGGGGGCCGGAAGCCTTTCCTCCTGTCGGTGTGCCCCCGACACCAGACGAAGCCTCGCGTTGCACAGTCTCCCTCATTCTTTCTTTCGAAGGACCAATTTTTCATGGTACTTTGTCCTGATTGTTTTCATAGTGTTCAAATCTGTATTTTTGTATGTAGAGGGAAATAATTTTCTCAACACTAATCGCTAATGTTGTATTAAATCGTCATGAAGGAGTTCTTGTTTAATAAATGGACCTGTAAAAAGGCGCTGTCGCTCTCTCTGCTCCGGTTCACCCTCCGGCCCCCAGAGGCTGCGGGCCCAGCTGAGGGTCTGTGTACCCCTTGGGCACATTCAACCTCCATATTTTCCAGAACACACCTGTGAGGGAGTTGGGCACAACGCCTTGCTTCCCCCCTTGCCTGAGCAAAAAAGCCCAGTCCTGGGGTCTGCCCCGGGGGCTGAGGCCCTTTAAGGTGCCAACCGTTTCCAAACCAGGAGCTCCATCGGGGCCGGCTGCCCGACGCTGCCCGGGGACGTCATCCTGGTAAGTGAGGGAGAAGGGCGCCGGGGGGACCCGGGCAGATCACCACGCACTGTCAGGCTCTCGGCCGCCCGACAGGCGCTTGGTAGCTGAGTGAGCAGCAAAGGAGTCAGAGCTAGCGGGAGCCGGCACGCGGGGGTGAGCAGTCCCCACCGAGGGCACCGCTCCGGGCGATTCTCAGACACACATGCTCCCGGCAGGTAGTCAGCCTGGTTTAATCCATTGTGGGTTTTGTTCTCTCTTTTTTTTTTTTTTCAGAATAGGAGACTCACATGCACAAGAAAAAAAACGAGACTTTACAAATAGCCTCAACATGGAACTTTGGCTCATTCAGGCCTCTTGGGTCACAGGAAGTGCCATTTAAGAAGCTGCTTTGGTATAAAAAAAATTACATAAAGTTACAAAAATCTCACTGAACATACACACAGGGTCGCTGAGTGAAGTCAGAAGGCACGTCTCACCTCCCAGAGGGGCTCAGGAGACTGTGCTGGCCACGAGACGCACAGTGGCCCCAGAAGCTCTCCCCCAGACGGGGGGGATCCTGGCTGGGCCTGCCCAGCCACCCAGGATGCCACGGCCGGGCACCTCTGTCTTTCGGGCCTGGGAAGCTGGAGGGGGGGGGGGCGAGCATTTCTTTGAACAACCTTAGACCCGTAGCAGGTCACCCCAAGAAGACATGGTTCCCAAGGGTGCAAGATGTCAGTTATGGGCCCTGGCACCCCACTTCTCAGATGCCAGGCCCATGTCAGTTTTCTTCATGCTTCAAGGATAGAGGGACATGGTGCTCCTTGAACTGAAGAGTCTCAGGAGGAGCATCCGGACAAAGTGCGGTCACGAGCGGGGCAGCAAGGGGACAGAGCCCCTGGGGCCTGGTGGGGAGCCCTGAGGAGGGCTTTACTTACCCTCTCCGCTCCAGCCCACACCAACCCAAGTGTGTGTGTGTGTGTGTGTGGCGACGAGGCTTTGTCCCTTTTGCTTTTGGTTGCTTTTTTGGCAGGGGTTATAGGGCTTAAGGTCTGTGGGACAGATGTGGGGAGAAGAGCCGGGACATTCAAAATGCCTCACGTGCAGAGTGGTTAGACGGCGCTAGGCCAAGGGGTGCCGGCTGGCATGCTGGGCTCAGGAACGCCACCTCAGGCTGTGGGAGGCCCGCTCCATCAGAAACTCCCTGGAGAAGTCACAGCCTCCCTCCCGACACGTCCCCGGGGGCTGGAAGGTGCAGGGCCAAGGCCCCGGCAGGCCTTTAGTCGGAGTCGGAGTCGGAATTCTCCTCTGGAAGGAAAGCAGAGAGGGCACTGGGCAGGGAGCAGCGCCTGGGAGCTGGTTGCCGGAGCTCCCGGCGCCTCACACCCCACCCGGCCTGCATCTGTGCGAGCGCTTAACTCTCCAAATAGCAGAACAAGAAGCCAAAAAGCATTCGAGCCCGGGTCACCGCGACGTGCTCGCTGGGCCTCTCTCTGTCAACACGGCACCAGTGGCAACTGGTGGACGTCACAAAGGAAAAACCCCAGGAGCCCTTTCGGGGTACTGGCCTCAGTGGGGGACGGGCCAATGGTGCCTTGTGTTCAGCAGAGGGGCGGTTTCTGCTGGTTCACAAACAGGCCTGGCCGAGTCCTGCAGCGGGGCAGCAGGCACAGAGCAGGGGGACCCCAACTCCAGGCAGGGCCTCACCCACATGGAAATACTTGCTCTTTCCAACCTCTGGTACTTCCTCCTTCCCCTTGTGCCATTCTCCCAGCACACTCCCAGGCACCCAGCAGCACCCTCAAGGGTTCCCCACAGCCTCCTGGCTGGCACAGAGAACAGGCCTTCTAGCTCCCTTACAGCCAACACCTCCTCCGGGCACCTCTGTCCCTGTGCAGGCCCTGACTGGCTGTGAACGTCTAACTTGTCTGGACTGAGCTCCCCAAGGACAGGGAGTCTGTCTTGCAGGTCTGAGAGCCCAGTATGTGGCCAACCCGCAGGTGTGAGGTCAACAGAGGGCCCTGGAGGGAGCAGGGAGCACTGGACTGGGATGAGCACCTTTACTCAGTTGCAAGGAGCCAGCTACTTCCCAGAGCTTCTGGCCTAGAGCTGTCAGCCAAGAGAGGCATCGGCCCTTCTGTTTAAAGACCTCCTGGGGGTGCAGAGGGCAGTGGTGCACACAGAGGGCCAGTAGACCCCAGAGCCACTGAGCTGGCCGCCACTGGGGTCAGCTCCTGCGCTTCTGCGCTGCAGTCCCCATCTGCCCCTCCTGCCCCCGAGGGGCCTTCTGGCGGCCTCCCAGGCAGGACCAGCAGCCCTTCCTGTTACGCCCTTGCAGGAATCCCCTGCACGCCTGCCCTGTGCTGGGCACAGCATCCCTACAATGTGACTTAATGCTACAGGTAGCTTATTGCTATCCCATCTGTTGTCACAGATGGAAAGTCAGCCACCCCACTTCCAGCCTTCTTTTTTTTTTAAATAGGTTACCAGGCATGAGGGCCATTCTGAGTTGGAGAAGGCTGGTTTGCATTTTCCTTGGATATAAAAAGCAAAACAAGTCTGAGCTTCCGTGGGTGCCGAGGACACGGGCCCCTCCGCAAGGGGCCACAGGCAGGTGAGACTGCAGGACGGCTGTCGGGGCAGGCCAGCCCTCTGCAGCCCGGGAGTGAAGGGGCCTGACTGCCATGCCCTCAGATTGCCCGCTCAGGCGAGGCGAAGCCCCCGGGGGCCCGTGCTCCCCTAGGGGTCCGGATTTATGATCAGCGGTGTGTGAAAGGCCACGGGAACCAGGCTGTGACAACACCTCCCGCCGGTGGGGAGAGGAAACGGCCCTACTCCACTTAACCAAGCGGCCCAGGGAGGGCAGCGGCCCTGCAGCAAACCCCAGGTGATCCGCGGGGTTTCCAGGTGGAAATGCACAGGGGCAGCACCCACCTTCTGCCTTGTCAGCTGTGGTCTCGTCTGCGGAGTCCCCTTGTTTGAGGAACTTGGCCACGTCGTTAAAGATCAGGTAGAAATCAACTGCAAACACGATGGTGGCAAAGAAGCCAAATACCTGTGGGACACGGGCGGGGGGGTGGCATGCGTCACGGCCGCCCGGCCCCGGAGCCTGGGAGAGGGGCAGGCTGCCTGGGAGCGCCATCCCTGCCTCACGCTGACCTCCGCTTGGATAAGCAGCTAGGCTGGCAGGCACCAGACCCCACTCCCACTCATGACAAACAGAAAAGGAATGGCTAACCTGGCTCGCCAAGCAGCCTTCAAAACCTGGGGCTCAGTACGTTCCCAGTAGGACTCGAGTCCTCCAGGCTCACGTGACAGCCCCGGGGCCCAGGCGGGCACAGGAGGTCCCGCATGGCAGCAGTCCTGGACACTGCTGGGCACCCACCCCCGGGCCTGGCCGGCCACTCACCCCGGCTGCTTTGGACGCTCCGTCTGAGTACTTGGCGACAGCCGTGATGGAGATGGCGAAGTAGATGAGGGCGGCTGTGACACAGCGCAGGAAGTCCTGGGGAGACAGGGTGGTCCCCTCACCCTGAGCTCTCTGGAGTGGGGCGGAGGGTGGGGGGGCAGTGGGCTGGGAGCCAAGGCTGGCGACGGGGACTCGGAAGGGCACTGGGGGGCAGGCACAGGGCTGGAATCCCACCGCTCAGGGGGGACAGGCTGGTTCCGCAAGGCCCCCCTGCTGTGTGGCCTCACCTGAGCTCACCTGCCTCTGCCCAGGTGCTCCTGCCTCTGCCAGTCGCCCAGGCTGCCGGACCCTGATCCGGCTGGGTTGCCTGGCAGACAGCAGGATTGTGGCATTGCTGCAGCTGGCCCGGGGCTTGGCCAAGAAGCTGACCTCCGCACTTGACAGGGAGGCAGAAGTTGTACGTCTTGTCACCTGTATCCCTCCTGCTGTTCAATGGGGAGATCCCGCCCTGGGCCGCGTTTGCCACATACCTGTACAGGTCCATTTATGTGTCACGGTTTCTACCTGTCACTAAAGTGAGGATGCACCCCATCAGGAGCAGTGCCCCATTTCATACAGCAGGGTTCAGCACGGGGCTCTAGGCCCTCCCAGGTGATAAAACAGATCACCAGATGGCCGTGGTCTGGGTAAGCCCTGCAAGTCCTCAGTTAACCTGCCCTGCCCATGTGGAAATGGCTTGAATTCCTGTGGCTGAAGGCTTCTGGCTGGCCTAGCTGGGAGCACCAGCGCCACCTGGCGGCCGGGCCCAGGAACGGCCGCAGGGGTTCGCTCCTCAGGATCACTGAGGGGGGGGGGGTGCCGCTACTGCTATGGGTCATGTGGCTGCTGAGTGTCTGGGCCTGGAGCCAGAGACCTGAAGCCAGTCAAATGCTACCAGTCCCTGAGTGCAGTGAGAAAAGATGCAGGACGGGATGCCTGACTGCTGGGCACCTTCCAGGGCTCCTGGCACTCACCATCATGGGCCAGCACAAGCCCTGCCACTTGTCATTGAGCTGCATGGCGTCAGCAAAGAGGAAGTAGAGGGCCAGCAGGAACTCCAACAGAGGGGCCGTGAGGAAGGCAGATGCTGAGGACGCCACATAGCAGACAAAGGTGATGAACGAGAGACCCTGGGGGCAGGGGAAGGAGAAATCAGAACTCCTGCAGGGCCCCTCACCCAGTGCCCTGCTAAGCCAGGAGTGCTCAGGAAGACAGGCAGCCCCAGGAGGGAGCAGGGCCTGCCCAGCCCGCAGACCAGAGTTAGCACCACGGTGGAGCAGGTCTAGACAGCGCAGCCCTCTGCTCCTGGCCATGGTCCCGTGACCTTATAGCCTGCCAGGGCCCAGTGAGGCAGCCAGAGTCTCCCCAAGTGTCACGCCCCCTCCCCCAAGAGGCCACCTTCTGCGGCTCCCACTCCAGCTCCTACTGTACCAGGTCTGTGAGTTCACTCAACTCAGCTGGTGCCCAGTAGGGGCAAATCAAACCTGGGCAGTCTCAAGGGCAGCCTACCAGCAGGAGCTGGCTTCCAATAATTATACCCACCCCCTGACATTTGTGATTACCACCGAATGGAAATTTTATCTGAAAAAAAAAAATGCAATATGTAAATCTTGAGCTTTAGTTAATGACAGGCATGCTGAAGTGCTCAGCGTTGGAATGTACTAATGGCTGCAATTTACTTTGCATCCGGAAGATGGATGGGTGGGTGGGTAAGGGATGCCATAAAGCAAACAGAAACAGACCGCAGTGGTGCAGTCTAGGTGGTGGGTAAACAGGTGTTAATGGTGTGACGCTTGCTTTCCAGAATATATATATCTGCAGAGCTTCACAGTGAGAAAGTGTCTCGGGTGCTCAAACTGCTGCACCCTTCACCCCAACTCGGGCACTCTGTCCCGGGGAGCATCAGCATTCTCTGCAGCGCACGAGGGGGTGGGGAGGGGATGACAGATGCTGGGGACTCTGGTTCGTTCTGCAGACGGTGGGCTGTTGATTGGGCCTGTTCCTGTCGAGCTGGGGAACCTTCTTGGCCTTCACAGCCATGGGGTGCAGGTGCTGTGCACAGCCCCCTTTGTGGAAGAGCAGGCTGCGGGTCCCAGAGGTGAAGTGACTGGCCCAGTGTCACGCGGCATCAGAATTGGAACCCAGGGCTGGCTGGCCTACAGCTGGGATTCTTAAACACCCTGGCCTGTGGCACGGCCTGTCTGTCCTGGTTTCTGTCACCGTGGCAGGTGTGAGCACACCATGGCTGAGTAGCTGAGTGGAGTCTGGGGCTAGACCCAGGGGACCCCCTAGGGACGCCCAGGTGCTGCCTCAGACAAATGAGCTGCAGAGGTCCCAGGGGGTTCCCAGGGCTGCTGCCAGAGCTGAGCCCAACCCAGCCAACCCAAGCAGACGGGAGACAAGGCATCGGGCCTCCCAGGGTGGCAAGGCCTTGGGACCCTGACCAGAGCTGTCCACAGCTCCTGCTGCGGTGGGCTCGTGGCTCCACCCTCCAGAGTCCATGCTGGGCAGCGTCCTCCGGAGTGTGGTTTCCTCGGAGTGTGGTTTCCTCGTTCCCGGACTTGTGGTGGCCACTCCTCCCTCCTTCCTGTCTACTCAGCCCCCTCATTTGTGTGGGCCTGGGGCAGGCCTGGGGGGGCAGGGTTTCCCGGGAGGATTCCCTTGGTGTCTTCCCACACTGCGCCCACACTGCGCCCTCCTGCCCCACCCACTCCGCAGCTTTCCAGACCTGGATTCCTCACACCCAGTGTTGCCAAAAGCTGCCTCTGTTCTGACCAGAACCTCCATACCGTGGGATGGGCCTGTGGGGGCGGGGGGCATATTCAGTTTCTCCTCCAAAGTGACCCCCACAGCCGTGGGGCTGGGGCTCATGGCCAATCAGAAAGGAGGCTCTGGAGTGGGCCCTGGTGCCTCACAAGAGGAGGGCAGGTGCAGGGCAGGTGGCTCGGGTGGCCCCTGGGTAGAGGTGATGTGCCGACTTCCTGCCATCTGGGCGGCTACTTGGAAGAAACCCTCCCTCTGTCCCCACCCCCTGTGCTCTCCCATGACCCCCTCAACTGACCCACCTGTCAAATCCCCCAGCCCTGGGCCTCAGCTTTCTTGTCTGCAAAGTGGGAATTATCGACACGGGTTAGCAGGTTCTGGGGTTCTAAGTAATAAATGCGTCTCCCTCCTCCTGCCTCCTCTCTGCTCGGCCTCTTCCTCCCTTTCCTCTCCTTCCAGGAGACCCAGCACCCTCCCCCCCACCCCGCGCCCGCCCGCCCCCCGCGGAGTTTTGGGAGTGTCCGGAGGACAAAGGCCTGATGAGCGGGTGGGGGAGCGGGAGGGAGGCAGGCTCGGCCGGCGTCGAGATGGCCAAGGGAGGAGGGTGATGAAGTCACCCCGCCGGGCTCCCGCCCCTCCGTGCGGCCCCCTCGGGGGCCAGGGCCTCACCCAGTCCCGGGGGTCCCCTTCGCACTCCCCGCTGCCCCCCTACCCCGGCTGGCCAGGGGCCACAGCGGCCTCCATCCTGCAGTTCGAGGCCGGGCCGGCCCTCCGCAGGAAAGCCGGCAGGGGCGCGCAGCGGCGACCCAGCTCCCCGACCCGGGTGGTGAAGGGCCGGGCCGG